CTCGAGTTTGGGCAATGTGCTGTTAGTTTATCGAAACAATTTGGTATATAAAACGTACGACGTGTATTCGATTAAGTGCCGAGGCGGGGTGGGGGGGGGGTGATAAAACAGAACAGGTAGCTTGTGACTGGAGTCAGACTACAAGATTTGTTACAGTCACGTTGATTTTAATGAATCGCCATCTTGATATTTTTCACATCTTACATTTATAGGTTAAAAATGATGTTCGCGAGAATAATATCGAACGATTTATTAACTTCACAGAAGGTGATTTTGCGGTTGTGAACTTATATTCAAGGAAAACGTTGACTGGGAAGCATAGCAAAATATTTGTAAAGCGAATTCCCCAGGTAGATAATAATTTAGTACAACTAGACTATACAGTGGCAGGAAACTGTTTACAAGAGGCAATCAATTACTTAATCATATATCGTGAGTGCAGCTGCGCTCGCGTGTGCGTGTTGTCCTCATCAACTGTAAATAATATCCCGGCATTTTACAGAAGATTGAACGTGTAGTTTTAGGGTGTATAAAATGGCAATATGATCCCAAATACCAGTGGTTATTGACTTCACAACGCACGCTACCAATTTTTATGCAAATTAACATGTTATTATTGAAAAAGAGCGATATATAAGCTGCCTTAGTTCGTTTGTGTGTACGTGCGTACATGTGCGAACCGCTATGAACCGCGCTATACACTTATATCCACGCGAGTATACTGTGTGCATCCAGCAGCACCACGTGTCACGTGTCTTGCGAAATAACATTATATATGTAGTATACTATGCTAACCACGACGGCGATGTTCTAGTTACGACGGCGGAGGGGGGGGGGGAAGTGCGTAAGCAGCATCGAATAACACATCTTACTAAACGCTGATGTACCGGGCTACTGTATATACGTGTCTATAACTCACACTCAATTATTCATACTTCGATTAAATATGATCTAATTGCGGCGTTAATAATGCAAGCGAGGCGTAAATGGAGATCGAGCTCTGCATGGCATCCTCGCTGTCATTTTTGGTTAAAATGCAATATCGGCATTAAAATCGTTTCAACATAATACCGTTAACAGGCCCACGGGAGCTGAAAACTGTTCAATTATTTCATGATAATGCACAAAATTCTCTCGGAGGGTTCGTGGCATTAGAACATTCGGTTAGAGCGCCTCGAATGTCTATTATTAATCATAAGTGTAACACGTATTAACTCGTGTTTACAACTTTCTCAAATATTACGAAGGCAAAAAAGCAGAGATCAGATTACGAGCGTTAATTTTCATCTCGCCGCGCGGTGTCCCATTAATTGGCTGTAATTACAATACCATAATTGCTGTTGTCCGTGATGCTGTTAGAGATCGAACCCGCATCCCTGTGTCTCCATCCCGGAATCACCGTCACTCCACAACGCTCAGCGAATGGAAGCGATCGGTTGACTAGAACGCTATTACAAAATAACGGTTCGTATATTGTTGTGATATCAATGATGATTTCTTAGATCGCTGTATTATTGATGTAATCCCCGCTGGGTGTTAACTGCGGGCGACCAGGCGCATCGCAAACGTTATAATGTCATTTTCTTTCCGTATCACTGACTGTGGCACAACAACACTGCAAGCGCAGTAAGAAATTTCATAATAATTCTACAGTTTGCTGTCTTGAATCGTGTTCATTGCTGGCATATATGGACGCTTCGTGTTCACGTTAACTAAATATTATTATTCGAACTTATTTCTGACCAATTAACTGGGATCGTTAATGACGAGTCATTACTATAGGAAATGTAGATATCATTACACTCATCCTGGTTGTCACCGTTAGTAACACCGTAAGACGCTCGGCTTAAGATAGGATTATATTGATTAATCTGTATTTGATGCTTACATCCGAAGCGGGAGTGGAATTAAATGTCTTGTTAATGACGCCGGTTTATTACCAGTATCCGTCTATAACATAGCGAAGAACACGCACGCAAGAAACATTTTTTTTATGGTGAATCATCTTTTGAAAACCGCATAAAAATTCCGCCCGTTCAAAATTTAATATCTAACATCGGTAAAGATAAACGCGTGCGAACGAGTAATCTGAAACACTTCTGTCTAAGAATTATCGGGGAAGATGTCCGCGACCACCGTCACTCGCCGTTCCGGCGCGTTTCGCTCCTCGCCATTTCTCACGATCGCACACACACGCGCGGCGCACACACACACACACACACACACACACACACACACACACACACGTGCGCGCGCACACACACACGTACACACACGCGGGCGCGCACACACACACACACACATTCGCGCGCGCACACGCACACCACACACACACACACACGCGCGCGCCACACACACACACACGTACTACACACACATACATTACATACACACACACACACGCACACACCACACACACAAACACACACACACACACACACACACACACGTACACCACGCACACGCACCAGCGCGCACACACACACACCCACGCACACAC